CGCCCAAAATTCAACTTCCCTTATTTATATGGCCATTCTCAATATGTGAAGCCTGCATTACTGTTGCCAGTGGTGATTGATATGATTTCTCCTTTTGACAGAATCTGTCTGTTAAGGTATATTTGCTAGGCTATAAAGACAATGCCATTGTTTTACTTTCTGTGGTATCTTTTCTATCATATATCACATATTTTATGTGCAGCACAATATATAATAAATATATATATAAGTATAGATGGTTGAAAATGACATCTACAACTTTAAAGTTGCCTTTTATGTGTTTAAATGGGTAGTAAATCATTAATATAAACTTTATGTAACTGACAGTTTTGATGAAACAAGAACTTCATTCATTCTTAGTGAATTTATGTTGATTAAATGTTGTAAGTCATAAGAGTTTATTTTATAAGCTATTTGAATTAATTCATTTTACAATTATTGCTTATTTTCATTATTTAAGCAAACATATTATTCAGTCCACAACCCTGACTTTAGTGAAGAAAACAAATAAAGTTGAATTTCACATGCTTCTAGATCTTCTGTATTAAAATTAAAGAAAATTTATTTATTGTAACTCACATTATCTTTTCTGAATGTCTTCTAGCATTATTTGTTTTTTATTTTCAATTGCCGCGGAAGATATAGATATGCTTTATTTGAAATTTCTGTTTGATGTAACTGACATATTTTATTATATTTAGAATAGGGGCATTCTACTTTTTTGTAAAAAGTTTTCATTCTCAAAAACATCATAAATATAAGTATGATATTTATATCTATGTATCTTCTTGATCAAACTAAATTTTAAGATAGGAAGGAAACATATTTCCTACAATTAAGGGTGTATTTAAATAGCAATCTTTTTTTAAATGAATCAGAACATCAAATCAAGACAGGAGTCTCATCACATACCTTCTGTAACCAGCTTATTAAGATTGATTCAACTGGTTGAATAATTAATGATAAGACACATTGTTATGATACTCGAGGGGCAAATAATATTTGAGTTGTGACATTGACAAGACAACTATGATCTAAAACATTCCTTAATTACAGATGATGGAAATGAACAGGAATGTCCTTTAACTTAGACAAATTTAAGTTCGTGTGATATTTGCATTGCTTTTCACATTATTGAGAATCAATAGTTGTGAGTTAAGTATTTATTAATGTGCAATAAATATAATATTTCTATATATATCTATCTAGGTTATTTGTCTACCTTGACTTATATAACTATAAGGTCGATCATACATATCACACAATGCATATCCAGTGAGAAGAAAATTTTTTTAGCCCACATCCGTGTTCCATCAGAAATATTAACTTGAGCAGTCCATTTTAGCTTTGGGTAGAATAGATAGAAATTGAAACCAAACAATCTTGATGTATTTTGTCCATTACTTTTTATACTACTAATGTATTTGTGTTTATGTTTTGAATCGACCCTAATGTGCACTAATATCTTTGCTTGGCTATAAAGGACAATTGTGCACACGGTAATTAACTGTTTGAAAATCCCTTATGGCTCAGTTTTAATTGACCATAAATTGCCACTTGCAATGTTGCATCTTAGAGATTATTTTGTTCTGATCAACAGCCTGTTTAAAGCTGTGACCACTTTCAAGTAGGCCCATATTCTGAATTATTCAGTCAAGGCTACATCTTATCTGTATGACATATTCTTTTTTGTTAAAAAGAGAAAAGGTCAGAAAGTATTTCTTTTGTATCACATTTTCTTTTCTGTATCTTTGATTCTTGGATTCTAAGCTGTTTGGTTTTGATAATGACAGTGCTTGTAAATGGTAATGTTTTAAAAGGATGATATATCTGAGAGCTGAAATTCATCCCGAAATTAACTGGGCAAATCTGTTTGATGTTTAACCTTGATTCAAATTCTGTGATATCTCAAGACAGGACAAGGTCTTTATTCTGAGGTAGAAGTTTTTCTAACAAGGGATAAGTTTTGAAAGTGATGTTGAAATGATAAAGACTGGATTATACTCTCTTCTGGCTTCTGGATGTTAACCTTGTCTGTATATTAATGAATCTATACATTGGACGAGATTGGGTTAATCGCAAAAATAAATTAAATGTTTAGTTTTCGTCTAAACTTAAGGTGATTTTTTTTATAATGCACCTTGTTGAGTTCTTGATTGATTTTATAATATACACAAAAAGGCATGACAGTACTAAATACACTCTGGTCTCGCCTCAAGGTTTTCTATGACTCAACTTTTGCTTTGTTATTTGTAAAAGTAAGTTTTGTTCATTATCCTATATGTAAAGCATGTATTCAAACTATTATAATATACAGTCAAGTAACCTAATTCTGTCCTAACCTATTTTTCATGCATCTCTGGAAAAAATTAATAATTTTCATGTACCACCTCACGTGACCTCTGCATTTGCTTTTCTTGATAAACATGGGTTATCTCTACAATATCAGCTAGTAGAATGAATTTAGTAGTTTCAAGCAAGGTAAAATGTATTAATGTATACTTTGACAAACACAAAATGGTGGATTTCAATTATTACCAAATATATTTTTTTATCGGCCGAATTTCCTTATAATCCCAAGCTGTAATCGCAATTCCAAGCGTCATCCGCTAGAATCTAGTTCACTGAATGACGTCACGTGACAAACTAGCGTATTCCATGTCAGGAAAATTCTATAGAATTCAATATGGGCCATATTCTTATATTGTTTCAATGTTTTTTAGCAATAAATCACTCTTATGTTTTACTTATCTTATTTTGTCAGTCAATATTTTTTTTTATATCATGGTTCTTTGAAGGAATTGTCATTGGTTACAATTAAATAATATACATAAAATGTATTACTCATGAAATATGGGTCAAAGTGGGAAATTCCGACAAAATGGAAACAAACCAATTTTAATCATTTTAAAGAATATCTGAGGAACCTGACATAAAAAATAAATTTGAGTTTTTTAATTTTGACGAAATTCAGTGTTAATCTTTATGTACGAATATAGGTTACACCACTGTACCTCTGTAAGATGTAATTGTGGGCTAAAAGCCCCTTTAACACCAGGCCGCTATTAAGCGTTCCGTTCTCTGTCCAGACCAGGTCATGATAAAATGTACCCATTTACATTACAGTAAACTAAAGTCGTCTGAGAACAGTTCTTTATATGTAGTGTAAATGCAAAGCATTTTATCTGTGGAACTCTTCTTGAAGAAGTTTAAATTAACCCTTGTAGTCACTGTGATGACATCTGGATGTAATTAACAATTTGAATTTATATGACGAAACTCCGCGAGAAAAAGGTGAAGGTTGCTTGTAAGGCATGCGCAGTAAAGCATTCTTGGAAGGTTACCGTTTACATTACACCAATTTGTCAAGCCTGTTCTGAGACCACCTCACCGAGATAGGCCAGAATTGGAACAGTTCTCAGAATGCTTGACTGTTCTCGGAACGTTTAATTTTGTAATGTTAAATGGGTTAAAGGAAATTGTAAATGTAATTATTATTTCCAAGTAAGAATTTAAAACAATGTCAAGATTGATTGTGGAATATGAACATTTTGGTTATTTTTGCCAAAAAGAATGAAAGGATGGCAAGCTATAAATATCAAAATCTTTGGAAATACATTATATTCAAGTAAAAAATGTACCTGCAAAATGACTTATGATTTTAAAAATGGAGAATTTTCTTTCACAATTTTTTAATGCCAATGTTGTTCGATATCCTATTTTTTGTTCTTGTTTGCTACTTTTATATTTAAATGTTTACATGTGAAATTATGATAAATTTGGTTAGAATGTCAAAAAAATTTTACTACTCTTTCTTTCCTGTGAATAAATGATATAATTTAGGCTTGATATTATTACATATATATATATATAATATATATATACATATAACAAAACACAAAACAATTATTATATTATTAATATTATGGAATATAACACACTTCTTTAATAAGGTTAGGCACATAACGTTTCAACACAACACAATATACACGTGTCGTCATCAGATGTAATGGCAAGAGAATAAAACATAACAAAATATATACCAACAAGAAACAATATAGAGATTAAGAGGGACAAAAGATAAAAGGGTAATAACAAGTGATTAAGAGAGACAATGGATAAAAGGGTATTAAAACAAGTGAGTTAACAATGCGAAGTCATGGAGGTAACAATCCTATGTATTAGAGTTGGGATCTCAGGGCCTCTAACCCCCTGTGGTCCTTCTAGCTACTACATAGGACCACTAACAACAATAGCCCGTAACGTCCAAGTGGTGAAGCCGAGTAACCCTGGAAAATAATAAACTCTTCTCTGGAGAAATGTACTGTGTGTCTTGCTACTACTTGTATATATGAGATCGCTTTAAGCAGACACAATATCTGAGTGCTTAAAAAAAAAAAAAAAAAAGATAGATAAAAAAAAAAAAAGAAAAAAAAAAAAAAGTATATTGTGTTAAAACGTTATGTACCTAACCTTATTAAAGAAGTGTGTTATATTCCATAATATTGTCTTGTGTTTTGTTATTAAGACATTCTAAGACTAACAGTAGTATTTTGAGGCTACTTTGCTCAGACAATAGGATTTTTCAATTATGTGTTAAAATATTCCATGCCAAAAAGGTTATATTAGTGAATACAATAATCATTGCTTGTATGTGGTATTATTATGTTTGTATAATCTTCCTGAAAGGAAATCTTCCAATAATCAAAATTGTGTTGATTTCTTTTCTACATTTTATAAGTAAAGTATGTAGGTTGTTTATGTAATGTTATAAGCAGACTACTTTTTACTTCAATAAGATCATTGATTTTGCTCAGTGGACTAGAATCAAAACAATCTGAGTATGCCCTGACAGTATATTTTACATTGTATGTTGATATTAATTTGTATATTGTTCAATATTTTAGATGTGTGAATCAGGAAATGAGAGTCATGATGCATATCAAGATCTTGGAGAAAGTGATGAAATGACCGAGGATGGTGAAAGACCAAGGAAACGCTCTAAGAGTAAAGATGACAAGTTTTGTGGTGTATGTGGTGATAGAGCTTTAGGTTATAATTTCAATGCAATTACTTGTGAATCATGTAAAGCCTTTTTTAGAAGGAATGCCTTGAAGAAAAAGGTAAGTTCATTTTTATCAAGTCATCTTTGTCTCCTGTTTTTTGATCCATACTTGATAGAAAAAGAAATTAAACATCACTTGATTCATGAAAATCTGATAGCAACTTGAGAAACGACCAATACACAACACCTAAGGACTTATTTCATAGTCATCTTTTGAATATTTTATAAATTAAGTAAATGCACAGGTATTGTGCAATATGAATCCAGAAACATGAAATTGTTCAAAATAAGTTTTCCTAAATCAGGAACAGAATTGTTTTTATACGCCCACATGAAAACGTGGACATATATTTCCGTCGCCCCTGTCCGTCCTTTCACATTTCTTTTAGGTGCAATAGAGGCTACAGTTTTTACCTGGTCTTGATGAAACTTGGTATGCATGTATATATTGTATACTTGAGATATCATTCAAGTTCGAAATTGATAATAATTGGATGAACAGTTTCAGAGTTATTGCCCTTGACTTAGTATAAACGCGTCAATTTTCAATATTGATGAAACTCAATATGCATGTATATATTGATGAGACTGGCTCAGGTTAGAAATTGGTAAGAATCAGATAAACAGTTTCAGCGTTATTGCCCTTGTGTGTACGGATGATTTGAAAATTTGTTATTAAGCCACTAAAGAGTTTATCATTCCTGACAGCTGGTAGTGGGCGTATGTTATCTTGCCTGGCAAGATTATATTTTTGATTTTATATAATAAAACCTCTCAAGAAAATCTCGATACATAATACTGTTGATAACTCTTTCTTGTTATTATTGAGTTATAAAATGTTATTAAAATTTGAGCTGGAGGGCGCTGGTACTGTTATATTTTTAATGAAAATATATCTTTGAAAATCTTAGAGGAATTATAATGATATAATGATTCTTTCAAGTGAAAATAGTCAGTATGTCAACTCGTGTACGCGTTTTAATTTGTAACAATATTCTCAATTTCAGTTTTTTTCAATATTTCATTTTAAAATAACACAGGTTTTTTTCAGGTTATTGTTACATAAAAATCTTGTTTTCAATGTTTCACAAGGACAAATGTGTCTTCTTATCAGACTGACATAATTAGACTTGAAGGTTTCTATATGATGAGTTGAACATTCATAATGTTAACTACATTGTTTCATTTGTAATTCTCCAAGCATTAGACTTGTAAGGCAGTATTTTGTTTAAGAATTAGTTGCTAAGCCACTCATATTTGAATTTTTAGAATTCTCTTTACCTTAATTTACCTTATAATAATTCAACGACACAAAGTGTGTGTGTTGCGTTTTCAAGTTTATTTTAAGTATGGCTGTCTGAAACTGTGCATTTTATCATAAAATTTCATATTTAAAGATCTATGATTACAATTCATAGATGTATGTTGTAATGAAAATGGACAGGTTTGAGTTTGACACTGATTCATATTTGAACTTTTTCAAAGGATTTACATGAATGTACAACATTTTTGATGATATTGGAAGAAAACAAAAAAGCTAATTTATTTCCAATGAGTTTTAATTAGAACCTAATTGATCAGTTAAGAAGCGTCTTAAAGTGCATGCAATTGACCAATTTTCATTTTAATTTTAGGTAGAACTTTTGGTGCCATTAATTAAATCACGTTAAAATGGAAACTGCATGAAGTGTTCTGTGATATTCTAATTTCAGAAAATGAAGTGCCTTTTTAAAGGTAATTGTATCATTGATGTGCGTACAAGAAGGTTTTGTCCTTGTTGCAGATTACAGAAGTGCCTCTCAATAGGAATGAAAGAAAGTATGATTTTAGGTAAGATTGATCTAAAATTATTGCCACAATTAAGGTACAATTTGGGAAAAACCTGAGGCATGAAACTACTTTCAAATCTTAAAGAAAAATCTTTTCCGTATAAATGTTTTTATTATGTAAAATGTCAGATATTCAAGTACGTGTGGAGATTTAATTCTATTTGATGAAATTCCTCAACAGAGTTTGATTATATCAGAAAAGTCAGTTTGTACCTAAAACTGTATCAATGATTTATTTCAAGAAATGACTGGTACAATATTGTTGATTTCTCCTTCAAACGTAAATTTCAATTATGGTAATTTTTACTACTATTCAAACAACTTGTTGGCATGTGATTGCTTGCTCAAATCTATATATGGTCAATCTTTGTTAAGAGCTTTAAATTTCTTTGGTGGTGTTAATGTTTGCATTGTTAAATATAGAAAACTAAGAAAAAAAACAATGTTGTTTTTTGGCTACTTCAAATTATGCAAGGTAACATTTTATCTAAGCTTCTACTATTTGCAGTTTTCAACCATTTGACAAAATCACATATTATATATTCAAAAGTTTATCTGACGCAAGTAATTCGAAAAACAAAAGTCAGGCCATACCAAAATAATTTTCTGTTCTTCAGGATTTCTTGAAAAAAAAAAGGTACGAGCGAACGAAATTTTTTTTTTAATTTTAAAAAAAAAATGTCTAAAAGTTAGTAATCATTGATTTGGTTGCTGCAATATAATAATTTTTAATTTTAAAAAAAAAAAAAGTCCCTTCGTACCATTTCCAGCATGGATCATTTTGAATGTATTCAGATAAAATAACAATTAATAGTATTTATTTGTAATCTTCCACAAAATTTCTTTTGCACAGATTAACTGGTCTTTTGACCAGCCATCATCAATTGTTTTGCACCAATCTAGCACATCACAAAATAGTTTTTGAGGTCCAGTTAAGGTTTTGTCAAAGACTGGTGGTGTAGGTTTTTCAGGAAACATTAATGTCTTTCTTGATGCCATCATAAAATCGAACACATTTTTATCACTTTTGGAAGTATTACAAACAGGTTCTGCAGACGAAGAATGAGAAGGCAAGTTAATTAAAAAGTCCACAAACTTGGATTTCAGTTCATCACACAGAGAAATTTTCAACGAAAGTGTAACTAAGACACCGCATGATTTTTCCATATTGTCCTTGATGTACACTTTTTCTGGGATCTGTGATATGCACGATTGAATTCCTGCAGATGCCAGATCATAAACATCTTTAAAAGTGTTTTCAGGCTCAACATCAAACGCCATGTTTGGCAAAATAAGTTTCTGGTGTGACCTAATTTTGATTACTAAAATCATTTTGGTAAAAAAGACAAATACAAATATTAATTCTAGCACTGCATCGGCCATGCCTATTTCTGATAATTATCAACTTCCGGAATTTCGATGCGTTCGGTCGTCGAGAAAACGTTCTTGCTTCAGCGAAGGGCCTAAACTACTGTACGAACTCACTCTTTTAACAGCGGGAACATGTTCTTCTATAATTGTCGCACGATGTCCACAAACTGACAAACAGAAATAGAGGGCGCAATTTGTTACTCCTGCTACCAAATTTTAGGCTTAGAGAAATAAAAATGAAACTAAAAATGAGAGCTAAACAATCATGTTATCTGATCAATTTAGAGGTACGGACATATGGGCAATATAATTTTTTTTTAAAAATTAAAAATTCTTTTTTCAAAATTTTACATATGGGAGCTCTTTTGATACATACGGAATATTATTTTTTAATTTTGAAAATAAAATTTTGATAACGGAAAATCGGGTACGGAATTCCCGACGAACAGAATATTATTTTGGTATGGCCTCAGCTTTATCTCCTTCGACATTAGGAGGCATACTGGTCTTTCTGATCTGTTTCTTTTCTTACTAGTCTAAAAAGTAGTCTTTTGCATTGCGAGTTGTCATTAATATGCAAATTTGTGATGGAGGATAAAGGAATTTGTAAACAGCGCATTCAGCAATAAAACTTAGAGCCAGTTTTACTTAACAATTTTCAGTAGAAGTGGTTTATCTGAGATGAGTTGGTCAATGTGAAGGAAGTGAAACTTATAAACAATAATTCTTGCTTAATATCGACCCCAAAAAAACAGGAAATGAAGAATGTTTTTATACCTAATCACCTTTCTCTTTTCTTTGTATGATGTAAAATCTATATTATAAACTGAAAGATGTGACAAACTCTTTCCTTTCATACAGAAATCCAAAAATATTATCAATATGAAACAAGATATACTATAGTACATATATATTGGCAAGAAATTTTTTGCTCTATTATAAATTATGGGCAGGAAGTTATTATACTTCTCAATTTCTTATTTAAAATTACCAATGTCAGAAGGGGTGCACACTATACACAGTGAATTAAATTTTGAGTGTTTTTTTCCCTTTGAAATTACCATGAATCGATGTTGAGGATCGGTCATTTTGTCTTCTTTCATTGCCATGTTGTTATGTTTATAAGATCTAAGTATCTTATAAATATTTTGTATTAATATATTTGAAATTACTAAACTGAAATAGGTATATTAATGTGTTATTTTAATATTATTAAAGAGAAACGTTCTACGGCGGTAACAAAATATAATTTGTATGGCTTTTATAGTAAGAACAACGAATGTCATGCTGTCTGAAATTGTTGTCATGTATTGTATGAATTTGAATAGCTTAACAGATATACAGGGTTTTAATATTATCCTTCGATTTTCGCAAATTATTCATCACAATACACATGGTAAATGAGAAACAAATACTCTCACAATAGCTTACAGAATCCTTGTGGTATTTACGCGCCTAAATAATTGAGCGGGAAAAAAGTTCTGAACACAGAATTGAGGACAGTAGTAGAGTTTTTGTAAATCTATTATTCACAGTACTCCAAAGCTACTTGAATAAACTAATTATAAGATTAGGTGACTGAAAACAAAAAGATCCCGTTAATTTGTAACACCACTGATTAATTTTATGAGTATATTCTGAATGGAAACAAGAGGCATTGAGAGCGAAGAAAGATCAAAGAATACTATAAACACCTGTTGTCCATGTGATCAGTGAATGTTGAATTCGGTGGATCATATGCACTTGTTTCTATCCATGTAAAGTTCTGAGTCTTTAATGAATGAGTTAGCTGTTTTCCCCAAAGGTGCCAAGATTCTGCTAAGATGTTGGGCGATGTTATAGAAGACAGAATCCCGAGAGCATATGAGTAGCCGAGTCTTGATGGGGTTTTTGTGGATTTTAATTGTTGCTCTGGCATATGGGGAACGTGGGTGACGGCTTGATCTCAGTTTAAATTTAAGTTGATTGGTAATTTGGTTACTGGATTCAAGTTCGTTTAACTTCTTGTCCAACCTGTCTTTGTATATGCTCGTTGGGTTTTTGCGGAGTCTTCTGTAAGTTTTCGCATCACTAAGTAGTTCGGTGTCAGTTTCTTGGTACTCTTTCTTATCCATGATAACTGTGGCTTTCCCTTTGTCTGCTCATAATCTTTGTCTTCAATCCCTAAATATTTTCTAGACTGGATAAGAAAGAACAGTTCATTCTAAGAAATATACTGGTATTCAGTAATTTGTCTAAGAGTTACAATAGACCTAATTGCAAATAAGAATAGCTAGACAATAAATAATGGAATAATGGTATCAACTGATGTGATATATAATAAAAAGAAATAACACTGTTATTATATTAAATCCATTGATTGCCCCTGGCTTATTGACACTAAAACCATGGCTTAAGCAGTTTAATATCTAGACATTGAAATCAAATTCTTACAGATTGTTTTATGTTGGAATTCTTTCAAGGATGTGTTATAACACATGCTTCTAGATTGTGGCTCGATATTCCAGGGCCCAGAATCAAGAAAAGAACTTAAGTTTGAACTTAAGTCTTAAGATTTGTCTCAGCTAAGACATGAACTTAAGATGGATCAAGAATCGACTTAAGCAAATCTTAGAAAAGTTATCACTCAAGTCTGTTTTTGTAATGGATGTTTTATGGGTCTGTATCTGGTTCAAAATAGGATCCAAATCAGATTGTTTAAATTCTTGAAATCACATGGTCATTTCTTAGGTAGAAATAACTAATCTTACACTTTTATGACGTCACATCAGGGTCTATTTGTACAGCCTTGTCATTTCACTGTTTAAAATGACTCAAATAGTGTCTGTCTTGTCATAATGTAAAATATTTGCATATAAAGCTAATTTTTTTTTTTTTATTGCCTTCCTCCCTAAGTTTGATCATTCATTTGATAAAGTAGACCAAAAGGAGAAAATATATATCTGAAAAAATTCTTGTGAATCAAACCTAATATAAGTTGTAATCCTTAGGATAAGCAGATGTAAGCATAACATTTTCTAGCATCTGTCCTAGAAATAGTTCAATAAATCTAACCTGTCTCTTGGCCTAATGTTCTAATAAGGGTGTAACAGTCATTTCTCTTTTTTTGCAGGCTTTATTGTAGTCAAGCATATTTGTCTTCTTTGTTCCCACTTTAAGGCTGTTGCCTGGGCTAGCCTTTGAGAAAAAGACTTGTCATGAACAGGCCTGTTGCTATGTTGTATTCACAAATGTAAAGATGGTTGTGTGAAAAAAATTTTGAACCAGTTTCTTTTGGTACCCGAGATATTAGTGATTTAGTAAAAGTTATTTTTAGAAACGGAAAGACTTTCTGGATAAATTTACGTCATTGCATGTGGCGAGAGTCTAAACAAGGGATTTGGACCTGAACAAAAGCATAGCAATTTCATTTTTTGGGACACTGAACTGAGTTAGAGTAGCTTTAGAAACCAATAATAAACCAAACAAAATACCACAGAATGGAACACTGAATAAAAAAACAAAAATAAATAAGTGGTATTTGTCAACAAAGGGAATAGTTTGAGGTTGTGTGACACTGTGTTTATGGCCATATGATAATAAAGCAAGACAGTGAAATCTGCTTAACACAACCGTTA